TACGTGTTACCCGCGGGTACGGGGAAGCTGAATTTAAATTTGCGGGGTCACACTTGGGTGGGGAACATTCCCCGATTCAGCTTCCTAGCTTTTGTGGTCCCCGAGTTGAAAGTTGCGGACAAGTTGCTGCGGACACACACACAGACAACCTCGTGATAATATGCGTCTTGTACTGCTGTTACACAATACAAAACGCATAAAAAGGCATCAGTCCAACTATGCAAATCTGGTTCGGATCTGCTTGGAGACATAATTCTTTTTTTTTTGAGTGGAAATGTTAGGGCTTTAAGTTTTTACAGCGTCTCGAGGAATAAACACGCAAAATTTCAGCTTCCTGGCTTTTTCGATCTCAGAATTCAAATATTCTGACAGATACAGGAACACATAGGCAGACATTTTATACTGCAAGTTTCAAAAAAGACTCTTACATGCGCATAAACAAACCAAAAAAGAAGTTTAAAAAAAAACCATATTGCCAGCGAGGAAACGAAAGAAATGAGGGAGGAAAGCTGTTGAAACAAATAAATGTGAAAAAACAGGCAGTGCATGTTCCTGATCCGTAAATGTCAGTGTGGGTCTGTAAAGGCCGGCTGTATTTCATCCGGAGTTTTCTTTACCGACGGTAGGTCTTTTGTTCAGTGGGCTTCGGCTTTGGTTTATTTCGATTGTCCATCACCGGGGACTTGAATGGATTGAAATGTTTTTTGTTTGGGAATGTTGAAAATGCTATTTGGAGCTTTTGACTTTCTGGTCTGGCTTAGCAAAAGATTGTTCTGGTGGTTTCTTAAACCGGAAGAACGAGGGAGAGGGAAGGGGGGAGGGGGATGTGCGGGTAGAAAAAGAAGGAAAAAGATGCGATTTTTGGGAAGCGTGTTTTATGGAGGACACAGAATTGCTCGTAACGAGATAGCATCGTTGTAATTAGACACGTCTGGTGGTTCTCTTCTCTGTTTCGAGGAGTGTGGTTGCCCAGACATTTGTCGTATCGACCGGCGGCACCACCAGCAGCAGTAGTAGTAACAGCAGCAATTCGTTGATAATGCCGCCCAGCAGCAGCACATCCACCGATCAAAATTGCTCATCGTAGAATAGGGGGGAATTGCGTGCCGCACATTGCATCATTATCGTCATCGTCGTCACCACCGTATATCGATTGTGGGTGCAAAATGAGGGAGGCGAGGTACTTGGAGTGGCAGCAGCAGCAGCAGATGCGAACAGCGATGCATGCTTTCGAGGGACCATTTCAGCAAAAATTCCTTTGAAAGAACATTGAACGCGTAATCCAACTAAGATCACATGAAACAGTACAGGAGTCCCTTTTCTATTTCTTACTGCATTTATCATTATTATTATTAATTTATAACTATAATTTACTATGATTAGTTACCATATTTGGAATTGTTATCATGAATTAAATCGTAATCTAATTTAACCAGGTGTGAGTGGTATCCGTGTGTACTCACTGATACTGTTATGGGACTATCACTGATGATTTTGTGATAAACTGAGCAACTGTTCATTCCGTCTGAAAATCAACAGACCCATCGAAGAAGCAGCTGGTCCTAGCATGGCTTCCATCTGTGTATTTGAAAACGTTCGTTTTGATAGCTGCTTTGACCAGTGCTGCATCGTCTGGCGGTCAGCCTACTGCTGCTGATATCTGGACATTCGTTTCGTCTCCTCGAAAGATTACGAATTTGATACTTTCCTGATGTGTGTGAGACCTCATATTCACGGTGGCTTCGTGAGCTTAGTACTTTTTCAGTGCTTTTTTTAGCATTGATTTTCCGGTTCTGTTGTTTCATCCCCTCTGAGGGCTCCCTCCTACGCAGGTCCGGAAAAAACCACGAATAGAAGCGCGCTAAAGCAAAAATTAGCTGGAACACTGCTGAGAAGTTGAAGTACGCGGGCTACTTGAAGAACATTATCATTGATTTGTGGGAATTTGCTTGAGCCAAGCGGGAAGGGATCATTTTGGACCATTATGGGAGGAATTTGTAGTTGAGATATTTTGTCGAAGTCGATAAGATCACGTAGCCTTTGAGGGGAAGAAGAGAACTAGAGACGTCAGTTGTTGCTGGGTGAACGTTTTAGATAAAAAATATCGCTTTCTGAAATAGCATTTTTTGCGGATTTTTTTTTGGAATGGATGAAAGCTTCTTCGAATTGGAAAAGCGGAGAGGAGTGGAGAAAGGGAGACAAGAGTGATTGTCATGATGACGAAGCTTTTGCCTGATTTATCCATGCTTGTTCGGGAAGAAAGCTGATAATTTATCTATCTGGCTAGATTCAGCTATTTTTTTACTGGCAAAGCCATGTTTTGGAGGCGAATCTTCAGTGCGAGTTGGGAATGAAGTTCAAGTCGTTGAGTTTTTAAACTTCGAATTTATGGCTTCCCTTATCCTGAGATTTCTAGTGAGTCCGATTTTGGATCTGAGGCCAAAAAGTAGATTTAAAGAAAAAAACCTGGGTGTTGGTCGCAGTTACGTGATCTTAGTCATGATCTGCAAATTGCAGAATTTTAGTTGCTAATCGCAAACTTCTTTTGAATTACCCCGACAAATAAGCAGAGCGCTTATGGTCTTCATCTCTATGTAATGTGTATTTTTGGTTTGGAAAAAAAGCGGCTGAGCAGGGCAGTTTTGTAAATCCTCTTAAACTGTGAGTGTTGTGTTAAATTGAAGCGCCGGAAAGCAATTTACTGAACAGTGCAAGGTGCTTTCAGATAATGAGTTGAACGGCTAAATTGTGAGAGGGAGAAGTTTGGGAGGAGAAAAAGATGTGGAAGTAGGA